TTTTTCCTTTTTTTGGCTAGATGCATGAACTTTTTCAATTTCACTAAGTTTTTCAATTTGAGATTTTTTTTTCAAAATCGATGAACGTTTTTCAAATTCAATAAAACTTTTTTTTTCAAAAATGAATATTTTTTTCCAAATTAGGTGAACTTTTCTTTTTCTATTTTCTATACTTTTATATTTTTCGTTTTTGTCAGTACTATAAGAGAAATCAGGGAGCAAAAAAGAACGAATGGAAGAAAAACTGTAGCGAACAAACATAAAGATTGTATGTGGCGTTTTGAACGAGCAAAGGAGGAGTCGTTCAGAATGAGAGTGGCGTTTTGTCTCCTAGGTATAGATACATCTATTATGAAATATGTATAAAAACATTTTAAAATGTTAAAACAATTCGAGAAAAATTCCCGCGTGTACATCTGAACATCCTATGTTCGCACTGATAATTTCGGTGAAAAGGGACATTTTTGGTGGCATGTATACAAAAGATTAAAAAAAATGCCTCGTGAATAGCTGTAATCAAGCATCGGAAATTTTCTTTTGTACAGAAGCCACAAAAGATGACCTTCTTTATCGAAACCTTGTGCACATATAATGTCCGGATTTGCATGCAGAATTTTTTCTCAATTTTTTTAACTTATTAAATTGTGTATGTAGACAATAGATGCATATACACCTACGAGGCAAAGTGAATTTCCGTGTGAAAACGAGCAAAGGAGGAGTGGTGGGCCGGGGCCCGATAAGGATCACTAATGTGCGCCAATTTAGTTTCTGGTGCCTACAGCATGAGCTTTCGTGAAAACGTACTACCTTAGACCAACTCCACCACGAGACCTCAAACGGACGTCCGGATTAGTCCGAATTTGTCCCTTTGGGGAGCCGATGGGTACGCCCGTGTTCGGCTGTGTTCATTGGGTCGTGCGTGCGCCCACCGCGCGGTCGCACCCCAAATCGTGTTCGGGACGGGCGGAATTAAAAATAATAATTAAGTAACTAAAAAAGCAAATAAACGCATTTAAAAAAAACATAAAACATATAAATGGGTTGGCCACAAAACGGCCCAGTTTCAACGGCCACTTAAAAGACCCATATTCATAATTAACATAATAAGAAGAAAAAACACTCCTCCCGCGCGCTCCTGCCGCGCCCGTCGGTGCCGTGGCCGTCACCGTCTTCACTGGCCGCCGGTGTCGTCGTCGTCGCTGACGAGGTCGACGTACTCCGGCGGCGTCCAGAGGTGCGCCGGCGGTGCCTGGTGGACGGGGGCGGGCTGGACGGCCGGAGGTGCCTGCACCACCTCCTCCCGCGGCGACGCCTCCCGCTCCGGAGTGGGGCACTAGTTCACGCCCAGGTCGGCGGCCATCTCCGGCGCAGTGCACGACCAGCCCCACCCCTTGCCCAGGAGCTTCTCGAACGCGGGCGAGTCCTCCTCCATTGGCTCCTCCTTGGCCGCCGCCGTGACGGCCGCCATCTGCAGCTCCGGGAAGGCCACGTCCCCGGCGGCAGAGAGGGCCATGGCCTCCTCCAGGCCGTCCCACTGCCGTTCGTCATGCGTGTTCATGGAATCGTCCATGACACGCTGCAGGAGACGGGCCTCCTCCTCCGCTGTCATGCGAGGAGGGGGAGGGGGCGACGGAGACGGGGAAGGCGACGGCGTGGGCGTCAGGCCACGCACCCGCGTACGCCCGCGCGGCTCTGCACGTGGCCTCCGCGGCCCCGACACGATGCCGGCAAAGTAGGACGCGCGCTGCACGTCGTGCTCGTCCTGGAGCCATGTGTCCCAGAGCGGCGAGTCGGGGGCATACCTGTGGTCGTAGTACAGGTCATCGGGGAGGAGGCGGCGGCGGCGGTTGATGTCATCGCGCCATGCACGGCCGGTCGCCGGCACTGGCGGGATGGGCACCCGGTCCGCGGAGAGATGCCACCCGTTGGGGAGGTGGGCGTCGCTCCACGGGACCGGCGTCCTCGTCTCCCAGTACCTCCGGCACACGTCCGCGCAGATGTACTGTCGGTCGCGCTCGCCGGAGGGCCTAGGGGCAATGGTGAAGGGGGCCGGCGCGGGGGCTCGACGGGAGGAGTGCGGCGGTGGCGCGGGGGCCCGACGGGAGGAGCGCGGCGGAGACGCGGGCTCCTCCTTCACGGAGCCACGGCGGCGCCCCGAGGAGGAGCCGGCCTCGCGGTCGTGCTTCCCCTTGCCGTTCCAGAAGCCCATAGCGAGGTGGGCGGCCGGCGAGCTCGAGGAGGAGTCGGGCTAGGGTTTCTGCACTGTCGGGGTTCGAGGAGGCCGCTGGGTGGCGTGGGGCAGTGTGGACGACGACCCGTCCACGCTTCCCACTTAAAGAAGGACGGCGACCGCTCGACGTGCGGATGACAGGTGGGGCCGCCCGCTCGTGCGCATTGAAGTGGGTGGGTGGGAGGTGGGCGGCCGCCGACCTGGGCGCGCGTCCGCTTAGTGTCCGTCGCGACCCAAACCCGGCGCAAGTTTACGCTCGAAATGGATCGGCCCGGACACAAAACGGACAAGATAGGTCCGGGCCGTCGCGCGCTGGGCCGCCTTCTTTGTCCGTTTTACTCCAAACGGACAGGGCCGGACAGGATAGGGTCGCGCGGTGGAGTTGGCCTTACTACTCGGATCTGTACGTCCTGATTGGTTCGGCCCATGCGTCAGATCTGTACGTGACCAACTGGCGGCACTGACGAGGGAAGCATTAATTCCTTGCGCCGCGACTGGATTATAACATGAACGTCACTTTACGGGCGTCATATCTAATTTCTAGCGTATCTATGGCGGTCGACCACATCTCACATATGGGATCAAAAGCAACATAATTTTGCAGAAACACACCCGCCGCCGCTCCAAGTCCAGCCAGCTAATTTGCTAATATTTAGGAAGTGTGATTTAGGAAGTATGATTTAGGAAGTGTGATTTAGGAAGTGTGATTGGCGGAGGGGGGTTAGCTGACTTTACGACGTCAATGCGAAATAATACAAACATGCATACAAACATGAACGTCTCTTTACGTCGCCGTTCCACGCGTCAAAGCGAAATCATAGGTCTGTACGTAACCTCATCAGGATATCTATATAAAGACTCTAATCGGGAGCACATGGGCTAATATATTTGACGCGTACAGAGGAGTCAGTTGATCATACTCAGCTGCCATCTGCTCTGCTCTCAACCCAGGTACACCGTCTTTTTAATTGCATGTATACATTTTTCTCTTGTAAGCGAAAACCAATACTAATAATTAACCCACATACACCCTCTGTTCCTAAATACGCAGCAAAACAAGTGAGTCTATCCTTTAAAATTTGTCTATATACATCTGTACAAAGTCCGTATCAAAATCTCTAAAATAACTTAAATTTACAAACGGATGGAGTAGATAATAGCAGCATACAGCTTCTCAATTATTCAGTAAAATGTAGAAATCACACATACACCTCTCAAAATATCTGCAACTTATTTTGCAAAAGTAAACAAAAAATAATAATATTTGCAACTTCTGCCCAAAAACCGTTTCAGAATTATTGCAGTTTGGACTCTCTTGATTTTAGCAAACATCGACTAAAGTTTAAGCTTGAACAAATTTGATTTGAATTTGGTTCAAAACTACTAGTCCGAAATTCCAGGGTACGAAACATATATTCCCTCGTCCTGTATTACTTGTCGTAAAAATGAATAAAAATAAATGTATCTAAACTAAAATACATCTAAATATATTCATTTTTGCAACAAGTAATTCCGAACGGAGGGAGTACTGGTTTAGTTTGAATTAGATTAGCATTTGTCCACACAAAGCATTGATTGCTGACGTAGGAAAAGCTGGCTGATAGATAGATAGAGACCTGGCAGGTCAACCCCAGACGGACCACCTCATATCTCTCTCCTGGCTTCGCTTTCCGGGCGATTTGATAATTTGTTACCCTTTACTTCTCCCTTTCACAATTTGCCACCCATTATCTCAATGACGGGCGGGCCCGGGCCCCACCTGTCATTCTCAGAGGGGGCAAATTATGAAAGGGAAAAGTAAGGAGTGGCAAATTATCAAATTTGCCTCGCTTCCCCTTCTCTTCTCCTCCCCATCGGCGTTGGGTTGGGTTCGCCGGCGTGGATCCGTGTGGATACGAGGGAGCCGGAGAGCTCCCCTTATCCACGATCTGTCGGCGCCAGTAGTCGCCGCGAAGGCCGCCGGGTCTGGATCCGGACGAGATGAAGCTCTTGTTGCGCAGGCGAGTTGGGACGGCTGGCCGTGCCCCAGTGGGAGGCCCACCGTCGGTCTGCCGGTACGCCCAACAAGGCATGGTCGGGTTCCTCGCAGCTTCGAGCTCCCGTGCACTGCACCGTACTTCAGCTTTTCTTCTCCAACTCCGACCGCCACCGCCGGTGATTAACCGTCAAATTCCTGTGGTGAATACGCTCCTCTCTTCTCCTTCTACATTTCCCCTCAACCAATTTCATGCCTCCTCTCCTCTCTCTGAGTAAGTGGTAAGCAGCACTACATGAATTTTGATCTGCAGCTGGGTTCTGTCTTCTGAATGTTCTCATCTGTTTTGCACCAGTAACTGAATCCTAGGAGTAGGAGTAGTAGAGGATGTTCACCTTGTAGAATATATCAAATTATCGATACAAGATATAGTAGGTTAAACTAGGTGCAGGCGACCGCCAATTTCAGATTTCAGTAGTCTGACCCTTACGTGTTCCATGTATGGGAACCGTGGTGTTTCCTGTCAACATCTTGCTGTCAAACTAATTACAAACATGCATCTCTCTCTTTACATCTCTTAGTAAGTATATGTGTATACATCTTTGGAGGAGATAATAATACATGACTACCAATATATAATATGTTTGCAGGTTGATACCTCTTCAGGCGCTACTCCGCCGCTAAGAAAATGCAGCTCTGGACCCATCCCGCGGCGCCGCTGCTGGTTGAGTACAATGATCAAGACATAGTCGACAAACTTACTGAAAACAACAAGAAAAATGTCTGGTTAGCAGAATGATAGGGGCGGACGAACTGTACTTAATACACGTTCAGCGTGCTGCTGGCATTGGTCTCCCTGCTACGCTGGTCGTCAAGAAATTTCGGAACATGAACCAAGCACTACAGGTGGATGACAATGTCAAGAACCGCTGCAAGTCAGAGGTGATCCTGTTAGCCAGAGACTGTCACGATAACATCATCGGGATCATAGATGTCATTGAGAGGGATGAAGCGATCATGCTCGTCTACAAGTACCCGGTGAATGGCAGCCTTGACTACTGGCTGCACCAACGGGAGGGGGCCGATCGGCTGCTGAGCTGGCCGCAGAGGAGGGCCATTGCCATCGGCGTCGCCAAAGGGCTCTGTCACTTGCACCATGGAGGCAACAGGCCGATTGTCCACCACAACATCAACTCTAAGAACATCTTGCTTGATCAAAATTTCAATGCTGTGATAGCTAGTTTTGATGCTGCACAGATGAACATGGCCGGGCACGACCAACCGTTGCCAATCGCGAACCTGCCTCTTGGTAACTTTGGGTACGCAGCTCCAGGTATGTTGGGCGGTTTATGTATGCAATGGAATTATGTGATGTCTTACCTTTTTCTTAATTACAGGAAACTCTTGTCTTAACTAGCTTTGTCTGTTAACTAGTGCCAACAAATGATTAACTGCAGAATATGCGACCGCAGCAAGCCAACTGACAGAGAAGGTAGACACTTATAGCTTTGGTGTGCTGATGCTGGAGCTCGTCACCGGGCGGGTGGCCAATGAAGCTAGAGCCGATGGTCATTTGGCGATCTGGGCGCACCACTTCACTGGACTGATGGCAAAACAAGTGGAAACGTTCGAGAGTGCCATGGAGAAGGGCATCCCAGATCAAGCGCGGTACATGGAGGAGATGGCAACTGTGTTTAGGCTGGGCGTGGATTGCACCGTTGTGGATCCGAAGAAAAGACCATCGATGCGGATGGCGCTCAAACGACTCCGCCGCAGCTGTGGGCGTGGCCCATTCCGTGGCCTTCTCACCTGCTATCTAATGTGAGGTCACCTGAAATCTTGCAAAGTTTCAGTCAATTTTTTTTCTTGGATTGTTGTTGTCGATGTTTGTTGTGTTTGAGCCATGCTTGTTGTTCTGGTTGTATCCCTCGTTTGTTGGTTTGTGCTCAAAGGAGAAGTGGAGACCATTTCTCCTCTTCATGTGTGTATTTATATCGTGATCGTATTGGTTTGAAATTGTGCGCTGTTGTGCAATTTCCACAAGGTGTAATTGC